GCCCAATCATTGCCTCATCATGATTTCAAGATTCCAAGATTTTCCAAGGAAATATTATTTTTTATGAGCAGTGCTCGTAGACAAGTTCTCATACACAAAGATGATAAAAGAGAGGCTCTAGTGCAAATGGAACAAATGCCCCGAAATCAAAAGTATCATTTTGCTATGGACCGAAGTTAGTCGACGGCAGCAGTCGACTATATATTCCTTGTGCCTTAAGCCGGTGGTGCTGTCGGCCAAGAATATAGCGGTCAAACCCAGCGCTAAGCTTAAAGTTGCGGGGAAGTTTTTGAGCTGGTGCCAAGGTCACAGCAGTATACCGTCCACGATTTCTGGACGGGTAGACTACGTGATCCTGGGCCTGTAATTTGAGACTAATACATACATATATGCACCATTACTGACTTTGAAGGCTGGCAGGAGAACTTGAGGACGGTTGACTTGGTGCATGGGTGGACCGAAAATGGAGAAGGGAAATTGATTTAGGGAACTACATATGTATATGAGGCTTCCGGAGTTTTGTAGCATTCCAGGCGGACGTTTAACTATAATGCAGGCTAAGGGAAACAATTAGCGCTTACTGAATAAATGAACGAGTGAATCCCTCTTTATATTGACTGTCGAGCTTTTATAAATTCACTTTTTTCACACAGAAAAGGTAATCTTGGAGCGAATATCGACAACTCCCAGGCGGGTTTCCTTGCGGAATTATCCTACACAGACCAAGTAAACACAGTGAGAATCATTATCGCGCAGTGCGCTGAACTCAGAGCTGATCTGAATTCAATGTTTGCACCCTCTGCGACATTATTCAATGAGGTCTAAGATTAACCAAAGGTGTTGTTAGGCGTTAGCATTAACCCAGCCAAAACCGCCATCATCGCATTAACTAGGAAAAGAGCTTAGTCGGAAATGAGGGCCATAACCTTGGAGAGGGTCGTGGTCAACCTCGCCAGCGAAGTGAAGTATCTTCAACTAATCCTAGGCACCAAACTTCTATGAAAGAAACATGAGGACGCGATCACATCCAAGGAAACGAAAGATTTAAGGGCGGGCAAGTGTCTGGTAGGAAAATCCTGGGCATGTAGTCCCAAAGGTTTCAAGAACTTGATGAAAAACCATAGTACTTGAGAAGTGATTTAAAATAAAATGCAAACTAAAGCGAAGCATCTCCAGCTTCGAGCGATTACATCAGGATTGCACACTACAAAGGTACACTGATGGCTCGAAGGCCCCAGAAGGAGTAGGAGCTGGAATCCTTGGACCCAGAACCAGAATCTCTGTACCTACGGAGAAATATTCGAGCATCTTCCAAGCAGAAGTCTATGCCATCTATCTATGTGCAGAGACAACCGTAAGTAGAGGGTACAGAAATGGGAGAATTATAATGCTGAGCGACAGTCAGGCGGCCCCCAGATAGAAGAGTTCTATCGTATGAATCTTCGTTAGTGCATGAGTGGATTGAAAAGCTAAACTCCCTTGGCAGACACAATAGCATCAGGTCAGCGAGGGTAATGAGGCGGCTGACTATTTCGCTAGAGAGGCGGCAGCCAACATCCCAGTCGGCCCAGAGCCCTTCCTGGGAGTAGGTGCCAATACTATAAATGATGAGCTTAGGAGAGAGAGGAACACACTAAGAAATACAAACTGGCGCAGCTCGGGAGAAATGCGGCAAGCAAAGAGTTTACTGGGAGGATTTAACAAGAAGAGATTTCAAAGATTAATTAACCTCCCCAAAGAGAGGCTTAGAAATCAAACAGGTATCCTTACAGGAGACTGCAGTCTAAGGAGTCACCTACATAAGTTGGGAATATGGTTAAATGATCTTTGCAGGTTCTGTGAATTGACCAGCGAGGCACCGCTGCAAATTCTCTCCGAATGTGATACAGTCTGCAGAAGGCATGAGAGGATTCTAGGCTCGATGTGGCCACAGCTTGAACATATCCACTCCCTACCCTATCCTACCTGAACTTTCTGAGGGGTCTGGGCTTGGAATTTCATATACCTTGGCAGCGAAGTTGCCTCCGGTTTCGGCACTGACGAAGGGATCGACGGCCGATTAAGTAAAGCCAGAGCGGCCTTCGGTATTATGACTACGTTATGGCGAAACAGCAATCCAGCTTACAAGGTTAGGATTTCCAAATCCAATGTGCTCTCGATACTGCTGTATGGCAATTCCCTGCCTGCAGGCGCCTGCAAGTTCTCATAAACAGATGTCTTAGAATGATACTGCAATTTTTTGCGCCTAAAACAATCACAAATGAGCAGTTTCTGACAAAGGCTAACATGAAGCCCGGTGACATCTGTATGCGGAGACAGAAATGGAAGTGGATAGATCACACTTTGCAGAAAGAAGGCGGCAGTATTGCAAAGAAGGCCATGGAATGGACTCACCTAATCGGCAGAGGGTGGCTCTCGGCAAAACGCGCGAAACGTGGAGAAGAACAGACAATTGAGAGGCAAAGCAACCCGGCTTAAGCTGGCTGGAGCTCAAAGCGATTGCCAGAAATAGAGCCAGATGGCGCACAGGCATAGTAGATGCCCCATGTCCGCTTGGGATTAAAGCAAACGAAGTACATGTAGGCAAGATTTCTTAAGGGAAATACTCTTATTCGATCAAAAAATATATCCATAGCAATTTTACGAACAAATTTTTTTCGCGAATAAAATATATACATATGTACATATATGGAAAACTTCAAAGCTCATGCGGTACGTATATTCAGCAATTTCAAAATAAAAATACGGGTCTCCTTATTTCCGATATTCTTCAGTTCTGGGGCTGGCAGCGGGAAAATTCCAAAGAGTTGATATTCCTGTTCGGGCCACCCCAATGAATGTACTATTTATGTACCTACATTCATCTATTCATTCATTCATTTCTCAAACCGGTTTCCACCTGTTTCTTTTGGATATCTATAGTCGTGTTTTTTTTGAAATCTTTGTTTTCGAATATCGAATAAACCAGACTGTTTAATCGAACAAACCGGGTTTTTTCATTTCAAAAAAATTTTGACCTCTCAATAAAAGTTTTGAGGTTTTCGACGTCTTCAAGGCTTTTTTCAGTTTAAGGAAAACCCCTAAATAGTTTTAAAATTACATCCGAGGTTATTTGGGGATGAACATTATATCATATTCCAATAAATGAATACTTGGAGCTTAAACTGTGTCTACGTGCTTGGTCGAGCTTCTGCTACAATTCGTGTTCTGCTTCATGATGTTGTGACACATTTACTCCACCTCCGAAGAAGCTTTTTCATGGCAGAAGTACACTCGCCATTGTCTGCCGAGGGGCGACCGTTATTAGAAAACAACTTTTTTTGCTGTTGCTGGGACCAAAAACTGAACCATAAGCCTCCTTCTCAAATCCCCAAAGGTCAGACAAAAAGGAAATAATTTTATGTTAAATTAGACCAAACGTGAATTTTTTACTGTTTTTTATTTCCTTTACTTTTGATTTATAAAAAAAACTTTGAACTTATTTTGCTTTGATCTTTTCTAAATAAAAGCTCTTCTTACTGTTAATAGTTTTATTGTAATTTTTGGTAATGACTTCATGCATGAAAACTATGTAAAATAAAACCGGTTTATCCGGAACCTTTTTTTTTTAAATTGCAATTTTTCGAATGACTCGAAAACCGGTTTTGGAAAAACGCCGAATAATCGAACACCCTCGTCACATTAATGGATTTCAGAGACTATTTAAACCTGTAATTCGATTGGAGAGCGAACATGAAAAAACTCACGACAAATTCTACATTTCTAGCATACTTTTTTCGAGTGTATTTTTTTGAAAGCAATAAAGCGATTAGTTGCTCGTTATCTTGACATTAAATTGCATCACAGACATCTCAATTTATTTAACACATTTCGATGCAATCATTTCTTTAGTTCAACCTGTCGTATTGAACTTGGACACCTTTATGTATACATATGTACATAAATACAAAAAAGCATTCCTACAATTTTATAAAGCACACGCTACGCTCCACGATTGGCGCAGCGCTTAGTAAGCCCCGCCCAGTAAGTTCACTCCTTGAAGTTTGCCGCCATTATTGTCGAAATAAACCCCCATCCAACCCTACTAACGGCTTTTAAAAGCACACACACTCTAATATAAATATATAGGTACATTCATGTATGCACATTAGGGTGGTCCTAAAAAAAATCAAATGAGCGATTTTTTCCAGTCTCACCCTTTCAATCGGTAATACCACGGTCACAGATATCACGTACAAATTTTGGTCCCGATTGGAGTCGGTCAAGGCGTGTCGCGATGGGGTCCAAGGCCAGATAGATGATCCATGGAGACTGAAAAAATTAAAAATATTTTTTTCATTTAATACCCAAATTTGATACTATTAAAGTCGAAGATATCACATAAAAATGTTGGTCCCGATTGAAGTCGGCTAAGACGTCTTCATAGGGTAATCTGAATTTTGACCCCTGTGCGCCTCGCCTTAACCGACTCCAATCGAGGCCAAAATTTATATCTGATGTCTTCAACTATAGTAGTATCGATTTTGGGTATTAGGTGAAAAAAATTCTAATTTTAATTTTTTGAGTCTTCTTGAAGAATCTGGACTTTGCCCCCTGTGCTGCGACCCGCCTTAACCGTCTCCAATCGGGACAAAAATTTAAATGTCATATCTTCGACTATAAATAGTAGCATAGACGTAGCGGTTGACGCTTAGGAATTCTGATGTAAAAATTGCTTCCCACATTTAAGGACCACCCTAATGCACATGTATACATGCCTGGTGATTTATTTTTCATTATCACTTACCCGCCTCAAAATAATCTGGCAACGCAGTTACCACCCTGTACCGCAAAAATCAACCCTCTGAATTGAAGGAACAGGGTTAGGATGGGGTAGAAGGAAGAGAGGTTGATATAAACATACATACCTACATACACAGTTATCAATTGTCAGGATATCGGTAACTCAGCGGCCACTTTCAGCTACCGCAAGGCATTCATTTATAGTTCGATCTCGCGAACGGAAGTGACACGCGTTTATGCGCTTATGAACGGTTAAGAAAAAATTCTACAAATAAGCTGCTAATTGGCACATCCGACGGGATGTGGAAGCGAGTTGAAATAAATTAAATTTTGAGCATAAAGTTAGTAACGAATACTTTGCTGTATTTTTGTGAATTATGTAAATTTTATTTAAATTAACTATTACCTTCGAAAGTATTATATAAAGCCGTAGTTATTTACTTCCACTTTTTTTTGCTACAAAGGTGTTGCGAATAGTGAATAGGTTAAAAAAACGTTTTTGGAAAAGAAATTCCTTAACAGTGATAAAGTGAAAAAATTAATATTGGAAAATAAAAAACCGCAGCAGAAGTGAAAACCAAAAATAAGTTTGGTTGAAAATGGGGCTGATGTACATATGGACAAACATTTAAGTGAATATTAAAGGAGTGTAACAAAGGTGATAAAACAGGTCAAATTTTCTAACGGATAAAAAGTAATTTTTTTTGTATATAATAACACCCGTATGCAAATCAAGAAATCGCTAGAATTAATAATTTGTTTCTTGTTATGAGATTCTTATACTTCGGAATAAATGACACTGAGGCCTAGAAGATCTAATTTAGCTCGATTATGAAATCCCAAGGTACTTTCAGCTTCTGATGAGCGGATGAGAATCTTTAGTACTTAGTTTTTGTGCATCGAGAGAGGGATCTGCTGTACAATTGCTTACTAAGCACCTTCAGAGAAGAGTTACGCTGAACTGTAAGTAGAGAAAGTCCTTCGCTTCATCAGTTCAGAAGAGCCTTTTGCACTTTAGTTGGGCCACAGACTATCGGTGCTGAGATATGCGGCCCTTGATATAGCTCAGAGCAAAAAAGCCTATTCTGCCGCTGATATATCCAGAGACGACCCATTTCGGGCTAGGCCCTTGGACATCTCGTTGTTATAAATCCTTCTGTGCCTGGTACACAGATCAGTGCAACGACATGCCTATCAGCTAAAGCCGTATCGTTCTCTCTGCATAATTTTATTATGCCTGAAGTATTACATACAGAGCCAAGCGCCCTGATTGACGCCTAAATATCAGAGAAAATAGCAATGAATGGTCCCTGCGCTCCGAGGTCAATATTGTTTTGCACGTCTCTTTGATGACACGGACATTTTCCTGAGAAGCACTGCCCGAATGTGCTAGTCGAATAGACTTTTTAATTTGGTCTGTTGAAAAAAACCCCGCCCCTATGCTACAATCCTTTTTTAAATCGTCCGTAAAAACTTCATTGTGTCGAAGTTTTTTTTCGAAGATAAGCGAAGGACAGATGTCGCGAGATTTTTCGCGAATGTTTGCGTCGTTGAAAGAGTATAGGATACGTTCGTGCCCATACGTTCGTACTTTCTACAGACTCGGTCCCATCAACCTAATCGCACTCTGGGAAGCATCTTCATTTATAAAGAGATCAATCGATGACATTTTGCAGATAACATTCAACGGCTCCATTGGACAGGATCTGAACGTCCCCGTAATCGCAATGCACGCTGACCTTTGTACCCTTCCTAACATTGCGATTTAGTTCGTCTATACGGTTTTCCACCAAACCAGCGAACCGCCGTGTACTACATCCATAGCATAAGATCAGGGCGTAAACTCCACTGTGAAAATCTGGCCAATGCATGATGGACTTTCTTCGAGATAATTTACACAATCAGCGAGATCTCCTTTCTTGTGGATTGGGCAAAATACTCTGAGGAATGTACATTCCGTGAATTCTGCTTAACACCTGGTACATGCATCCGACTAGCTCTTCGCCGCTGGTTTTGAACAGCTAAGCCGGTATATCGAAGATCCCCGATACCTGTTTTCGATTTTTCGCATTGTTTGAACAGTACATTTTTCTTCGGGACATGCGGTCGTTTCTGCTTCAAATCTATAGCGAATCTGTCCAAAAGCTCTGAGAAGTATTCGCCGTTGATTGTTTTACCCTTTTCAAGGTTGTCTATGTAAATGGCACCCAGTGCATCGCACGAAACTGTGGCCATAACTTTATTTGCCGACAGATCCATCTGGGCCTTCACTGGTGAACGTTCACTCGAAGAACCCACTGTCTGGTTGGTTTCTTCTTCGTCTCTGGAGCAGTGTAATGGATTCATGTTTCGTCTATGGTAAGGAAACGCCGCAAAAACTAGTTCGGATTGCGACTTAACAGTACCAAACTCCACTTGGAAGTCGTTACACGATTGCATTTTTATGGCCGAGTTTGAGCAATCGCAGACACTCTGGGCTTCGTGCATACAATCGTAAATCGTTATTCCAATATCAGATTTGTAAAAGCCTTTAATGAGCCTTTTAGTTTTGTTTTTTTGCTATCCTTTGACTGCCGTAAGATAGGCGGTTTAGTGCAATTGGTCGTTGGGTGGTTTTGACACAGGGGTCGCAATTTAAAATCGTTGAGAAGTTTTCCCTCCATATCCCAGATTACCTATTCATCTCTACTGGAACCAGTAGCTCGTTTTTGTAACTCTTCTCTACCGATTATTTCTCTACTGATGGAGAATATACGTCATTCTCTACTACTCATTAGCAGTAGAGAACAAGGCGGCGATTTCGCCTTGGCAGAGAATAGTCACAGAAACGAGCTACGGATCCGGTCTTGAAACCATTTCAGATGTCTCTCCTCCCTCCTTCTCCCGGCACCGCTCAACTGTCGCTCGCGTAGCTATTGGCTGCAGTGTGGCTTTGACCTTTCTAACTACAAAGCCTGTCCTGTGTAAGGCTGCCTATCGCTTCCTAGTATTTATTCTGTTCGGAGTTGTCTATCTCAAAAAGGACCAATTGAATCCATAAAGTGGCTCTAGTGCCTTGAGAGCAAATACTGAGCCTTTTCTTGCCAGTTCCCTTCGATACGGCTGTGCTCCGGTACCCAGCACATTCTCGCCTGGTTACTCCTGGCAATGGTTGAATAGTACCGAAACACTCCTTTACGATGTTGGAGGTGATCATCGTATTGAAGAGGGCCCTAACGGGCGTTTTACTGTCTGAAAAGAGAATTGAGAAAGTAGCTTTAAAAATATTTTCAAGGTTTATTATGGCGCAGGTGAGAAATGCTAGCACCTCTGCCTGAAAAACTAAGGCCCTTCTGCCAATAGCAAGAGAAGGTTAATGCTGGGTCCATAAAAACCCGTAATTGTTCAGAATTCCATATTTCACCCGTCTCTGTGCCAATGCACATATTTATATGGGATCAAAGTGAGGGCACCCCATAGCCAACACTTCCGATTTTAGAATTTTTACCTGAATCAGATTTATTTCGTCTCAGAGACAGAAAGCTCGCAAATTTCTAGCACCGGAATTTTCCTAAAAATTATGTGTCTGGTAAAAAATATATGTGGTTGGCTGATCCTTGTCCGTAGAGGGAATAAGTTATATGCATACATAATTACATACATATTAGGGTGACCCAAAAAAGACTAACCTAATGAATTTATGGCTAATTTTAAAAGGTGTCGGTGGGCATTTGAAATTTTCCATGTATATAATATGATTTTTTTTTTTCATTGGCAATACTATACCTTACTATAGAACCGTTAGAGATAAAAATGTTTTTTTTTTAATTGGAAAACAAATTTTTCCAAAGGGGTGAATTTTCTTCTCAGTAAATAGGTAATTTTAAGGCCATAAATTCGTTAGGTTAGTTTTTTTTTTTGATCACCCTAATACATATACTACTATCTTAATTAAAGTGTTTGTTGTTGCATACGAAAGATAAATAATTAAACTAAAGCCGTTCGGTTATCGCATTCATGTTAAACATTTTTATAACAACATTCGAGAATCAATAACACTAAATATATCTACTTAGAATGTTATCATAAATCAAATCGATAAAGTCTTCAGCAAACAATTAAGTAGATAATAATCATACAAACACGATAATTCGGACGTTAAGCGATAACGAAATTAAACGATCCCTATATGGGCGGAAGAACATTGGCATAAATAAACGGGGCGGAAACAAAATCAACATCGATAACTCCGATAAGCTAAAAAAAAGACATCAGGCAGCAAAAGCCGAATGCTAGCCGAAAACACTTGTCCTGTTGTCGAGTGCACGTGTACGACACGCGGCCACTAGTAGCCCCGAATCACACAGCTTACACTGTTTCGAACGCGAGCAACAACAAGTCAACTATAATAAAAATCGGAGGCGACGCGTGCGCACACTTAAGCCATTGTTGAATGTAGAGCAGCTCCACGTATAATGCGCAAACAATTAAATGCCAATTATTGAATTAAGTAACAGTGTTTACAATCAATTAGACGAGTCAACAAGTGCAGCGTGTCTCAACGCCAACGCCAACGCCAACATCAACAACAACAATTACGTATACAACAACGGTAGTGGAGAACGCAACGCACCTTTGACCAATATAACCGTTAAAATGTTCTCACTCGATAATTTCGATTTGGAAGCGACAATGGCGCGACATTTTTTCGAAGGCTCACAAGCGACGAATGGTTCGAGTTCAAGTTCGGAATTCTTCTTCGGCGATGATGACAACACTTCGGAGAGTGATGAAGATGATGCCTATAGCAGTGGATTTAATAGTGATCAGGAAAATAATGAAAAAAGGTGAGCCACAGTAGTGTTTGAGAAATCTGACTGTAACTTAATTTTTTGTTTGTGATTTTGATTTTAATCTCTTTGTTAGCCGTTCGCATAAACCGCGTCGCTTGAAGTGCGCTTCACAAATGGCTCAGCAGCGTCAGGCTGCCAATTTGCGTGAACGCCGTCGGATGCAGAGTATCAATGAGGCTTTTGAGGGACTCCGTTCACACATACCAACCTTGCCCTATGAGAAGCGTTTAAGTAAAGTCGATACATTGAAGTTGGCCATCAGTTATATAACTTTCCTGAGCGAGATGGTGAAGAAGGATAAGAATGGCAATGAACCAGGTCTGAGTTTGCAGCGTAATTATCAAAAGGAGCCACCTAAGAAGATTATTCTCAAAGATAGAAGTAAGTATTTATACCGAGTTTTAAAAATATTTTAGAGACCCCAATTGTTAGTATGGTTTCAGCTTTTAGTATTTCTTAGCTGATAGCGGAAATAATAAAGTGTATTAAAAACAATTATTTAGGAAATCTTCAACTCAACGCGAGTGTATTAATATGTACTTCTGCGCTTGGCTTTAAAGTACATATAACTACTTAGTCTAACAATTTTTTTTTTAAAGACTACATCGTGTAGGCCATTTTCCTTAAAGAAACGTGTATTTAACCGCAAGCATAAGATCTTGAAGAGGTAAGCTTTTGATGTCTTAAATATGGTTGTTTCTTTTATTAACTTAAACTCGTCGGCACTCCACTAGATCCTCCTCAATATAACGTAGGGATGGCCCCTGTAACTGAGTGGTAAGGGGTGCGTACTACCAGTCCTTAGGACCTCGGCTCGATCCCTGACCCAAGTGACATCTAAAATTATAAAATGTTTTTTCTAATAGTGTCCTGAAGAGTGAGGTGGAAATTATTGGGGCAGAGGTCTAAACGTGTTTCTTCCCGAGGCGGTTTGAATACTTGACAACCTTTTTTGAAGAAGATGAAACCGCAGACCCCTTTTTGTGCGTCGGTTCCACCTCCGCAAATACGGTATACATATGTACATATGTCTGTGTTTGTAGGGTTGCTTAAAAGCACTACTCCAAAACAAGCTTTTCAAGCGTGCAGCGCTCTATTCCGCTATAAGTTTTATATCATGGCTTGAGCTTTAAGCCTCGCTGTAAAATGAGAAACCGTTTCACTCATAGACATTTACGTGTTACGTTTTCAGAAGATTACAATAACCTCCATAATTCGGCAGTTTGTGGGAGCGATGCTGCATGACTATAAGTAGCTGGCACAATGCTTGATCAAAATTGGTTTAGACGGACCAGCACCCTCCTCATTCGCTTGAGCCATTCATACTTTCTATGAATCACCGTCAATGGTTGATAGAAATGATTGACCGTCTACGAGCGCCTTAAGAATATTTCAATGAATCAAGTTAAATTGATCAGACAAATCCCTGAAGATAATTAAGGTAGGCCTTTTTAAGGGCAACCATTCGAGAAGGCTCACCTAAGACAGGCTGAAAAAAATTGCTTCTCTTCATATTGAAGAGCTTTTCCTATTCGAATCCAGGCTTTTTGGAATGGCTTTTAGCTCTTGAAATTATCTACTGGGATACGTATATTCATTCGTGTATGTGCTCTTTTCTGCTCTGAGCAGATATCTGGATCAGCTAATGTGCAGCAAGAATTTATAACCGTTTTAACAGTTCATTGAAATATAACCCAAAATAATTGTATCAATTATTACTTGCATATAAATTAGCTCGCACGCGATGCTGATGATACATATTTTGTTATTCTAACCGATGATCATCAATCAAATTGGTCAAGCGTTTACGCCCACAATTTACAGCACTGCGCAAACGCAATTTAAAATTAACGAAAAAGTAGGATCTACACAAAAAAAATTGCTAAATATTGCGTGTTTCTTACACAAAATTTGTTGAAAATCATTTAAAAAGTATGTACATCATATTTTGCCAGTGAACGATATCAATTAAATTGACGACTCATAGCCGGAATTGAATTGGTCCGCGAATAAATGCCGCAAGCTGCTAACTCAAATGAACATCCGCTGTTCTGAACAACACCAGCTTGAACTCGATGTAATATATCTACTCGTATATATAGCTAACAGTGAATGCGATTGGGTGGTGGAAAATCCCAAAGTATACACGCCGCTAACTGCTTACTCGCAGCCGCAATAAGCTGCTAAGTGTAACTAATTAGAATTTTCACACTTTTCTCATGAAATTCTCAAATTCAAGAAGAGGGGGAAATCGATTATTTAGTGCCATTCAATGTGAATTTTGTAAATTATCGCTGAAACTTACTTCTTTCTATATCATTAAGCATTTTTTCCAGCACATTGCACAGTGGGAAAAAATTCAATTTTTTGAACATTCAATTCTTATATTTATAAAGCAATATTTAGATAATACCGATTCATTATAACTCTTTATGAAATTGACAATTTCATTTTGAGGTTAAGTTTATATGGGAAGTATGTGTTAAAATAAACCGATTACTCCCATTTTTTGGTAGTTTAATTACAATATTATTACTAATATGTGGGCAAAATTTCAGGATTATATGTTTATCGGCCCGCTTTTTTGGCCTTTTTTAGGCGTTTTTGAGGTTAGGTTTGTATGGGAGGTATGCCTTAAAATAAACCGATTATGCGCATTTTTTTTGTAGGTTACATACAACATTTCTTAAAATATATAGAAAAAAATTCGGGGCCATATATTCATTGGTGCTCTTTTTATGGCATTTTTAAAATGTTTTTGAGGTTAGGTTTGTATGGGAGGTATGCCTTAAAATAAACCGATTATGCACATTTTTTTTGTAGTTTACATACAAGATTTTTAAAAATATATAGGACAAAATTTCGAAGCCATATATTCATTGGTGCTGTTTTTATGGCATTTTTAAGATGTCCTCAAAGGTTAGGTTTATATGCGAGGTATGCTTTAAAATAAATCTATCAAGCCAATTTTTTGCGTTTTTCTTGATTTATGTCCATTAATGTTGCATACGAAAAATTGAGGTCGTCCGCCGATTCTTAAAATTTTTTCCAAAAAATGTATGGCGCTATACCACTGTGCGTTGCATCTCTGTGGCACGTTGCACTAAAATACATACATATGTGCATAAATATATGTATGTATGTAGGTTTAACTGTGCTCTTCTTCTTATTCCGTTCTTCTCTTCAGGTTGCCCAGCTACCACTATTAAAACCATCTTTAGTCACGGTTTTTGGTTAATAATTTTTCTATTCAAATTGAATCAGTGCGTGCAAAAAGGGGGTTGATGAGTTGGTTGGCAGCAAAAGTGCTGTCGTTGAATGAATGCAAAATGCGAGATCAGCCCAGCGCCTCATCAATGAACCAAAGTTGTGCTGTGTTTAGAGTAGCCGTATTTTCAAAGCGAAAGGGTGACAATAAAATACATATGTAGCAACAGTAAATGAGTTGAGGACTGTTTCTTTTTTTAAATTTTTTTTTGTCAAATTTTTAGTGTGCATATTTTGTATATTTTGTTATGTAGTATTTGTCAAAACAGAAATAAATTTTATTTTTATAGGATTATTTAAGAAGTTTTTTTAATTTATTTTTATTTTTTTGTAATGTGTGTTTGGGGAATTGAGAATTTTCAACCGGTTTATAATCCAGTGTTGATGTATTACACCAATCGAAAAAAGTGAGCGCAATTGAAAATGACTATGCATTAGCGACTTTAGAAAACGTTTAGTGCGAATTCGTGAAATCTAAATGAAAAAATTATCAAATCTGTAAGTGTTAAACAAGTGAAGGAGAGTTAGAGAGAGTTGAGCTGAGGTGAGATGAGTTGAGGTGAATAAGGTGAGTTGAGGTGAAATAACATTATTCTGGGTGAGTCGAGTTGTGATGAGGTTAATGGATTTTAAACAAAATGAGGTACTTTGGGGTGAGGTGACCTAAGTTGAGTTGAGGTGAACTGAGAGGAGTTGATGTGATATTAGTTGAGGTGAGATAAAGGGAGTTAAGGTGATTTGAAGTGGGCTGCGGTGATTTGAGTAAACATAACATAACATAACGTAACACAACACAACCCAAAATAACATATCATAACAAAACAAAACATAACACAACACAAGATAACATAATACAACATAACACAATAAAAGCGAACACAAGGCAACGTAACATAACATAGCATAACATGGCATAACATAACATAACAGCTTAACACAACTAACATACCTTAACATAACATATCTCATTCTTCAGTTTTACATGAGATAGCATGACATAACATAGCATAACGCAACCTAACATACCCAAACATAACATATCTCTTTCTTCAATTTTATCTATTTCGTCTCTATCTTATCTCTGTGACTTTCTATATTTTTTTATTTATCTGTCCACCACAAGAATGCTCAAAAAAATCATAGATCCAGGCAGGGATGATTTTCGAACTCACACTGGGTGCTTTACGGAACATTGACACGAGCGTCTGTCGTTTCAGTGAGCTGAACGAAGAGACGTCAGAAGACATCCTTTGTGAATGTGTTGCTCTCTCGCTAGATGTAGGTTGCCTCACCTAGGTGCTATAAACCTTATACCATTCGAAATATGGAACAAAAAGCCCACGGAAGTGCTAGCCTATATTACTTACTTAAAAGCCTTCAAGTATAAGGAATAGTGCCACGCACAATAGACCATCGCAGTACTCATGGCTCATAATCCCTTTCTTTCTCTATATAGTCAACTTTTCCTTTTTCCTTATTTCTAAACTGCCGCTAGGTTCCACCTCCTCACAATTTTTCTTAAACAGGATTTTCATGCTTTCTTTTTTTTTAATTTCCCCTTTCTTTATGACTCAACCCCTGCAATGTTTATATGCCTGGAAAGAAGAGGTTTAGTCCAATGTTTCCTTAGATAATTTAAGAATCCTAAGGAGGAAACGGAAAGTTACTACTAAGGCCGGCCGTTACACATTTAAAAAAAAAGTTCTGAATAGTATCGATTAATAACCTCCACGGTAAAGTTTTATTTAATGCCTTTTGATGTTTCTAACTTGTTTTTGTAAATGTTAAACAAAACTACAACAACTACATAGCACGAATTTAGCGAAGAAATAAGCACAGTGTGTACTTGTATTCCAATGTAAAATCTGATAAGAGAAAGCTTGCAATAAAAGCGTAATAAATAACGCAGTGAAAATAAAAACAATGAAATGGAGAAAAATCGACATAATCACACCGTGAGAAATTCGTTTTCCGCCAGCAGATGACGGTAACTCAACATACACGCAAATGTTCGCCAATACGAATGTATGAAACCATATGCATATGTACAAGGGGAGGCTGAAAAGTTTTGAGTCTAAGGTATTAAAATAGCTGGTGGAAATATATACAAATTT